CTCAGTTCTTTCATATTTTCACGAAATTCATATAAGGAATTTGTTAACCGACACACTTCATCATTAAGGATGACTTAATTTTCATTTGCTAGCTTTATGTATGCTGGCCTACGTAGTTCATAGACTTTTGTGAGTAATAATTCCCGCTTTATTCTGGTACATAGTCAAATTGTAAATGACACAGTAGCTTTTCCCCTACCTTATTTGTGTTATACGTTATTTTGTTTTTATTTTTCTGCTACTTGTACATTTTTAAGTAGCGTTTGGAGATAAGTAAAAATATGTTGGATTTAAACAACAACTGAATTGAATACAACATCAGGTGGAGCAAGAAGCAAAATATGGATTCCTCTATCACTTAATCCTTCTTCACATGACGTTGATCTATGATAAAACTACAATCGGATTAAATTTAGATTTAAGATAATTAGAATTAAGATACTGATCAGGTAATAATAATCGTGATTGAAAATTACCGCTCATGTGGTGTACTACATAATACGTTGCTTAGAAGCGTATGTCGTCAAGCAAAGAATTTTGGATCTGGGCGCATGGTGCGATTAAAGTGATTTGAAGAATGGAAGGCATGTAGGAAAGGCAGTCAAGAATACGCCTGTGTTGCAAATTAGTATTTTATGATAAGGTGTCGACTTTTCGGCTGGTAAATTTTGTCCTCTCATTAGTTGCGTGGTCTAAATTATCTTTGGTACAATTGGCAAATCGCTGACGAGTATATAGGCTTGTCATCAAATACATGAACGGATATATGTAGGAGACTTCGCTTTATGGTAGCTATTTACTTTGAAGATGACCGGCTAGATTACTGTTGTTCTAAATTCATACTATTCCTTACTGAAAAATCTCTTATTTTAAAATAATAGGCTATAATGAGACTCAGAACACTATGTATTGTTTACTTTAGACAATAAAAGAGACCTTTTCTCGCTCAGATTCGAAGACGTAACACTTCTAGTCAGAAAAGTCGGCAAACTATTCTTCAACGACCCACTCTTCATTTCTTCGATACCTTGCTTATTGGTCATATTTAGGATTTCTATAGGTCAATAACGCTCCTAAATGTCAAAATAGTACTATATTAAATACCGATTTAGTGTTAACATAATTTATTAATCCAAAAGTAGTTGCGAATTTAGTTGGTTGTTTTGACATCATTTCTTCAGTGTATTTATTATTAAACCACAAGTAAAAATAGAATCATGTAGAAAATAAGTTACTTTTGATTTCGGAGAACTGTTGATAGCTAATTTCAAAATTACTACTTAAAATGTACAGTTTATATAGAGTGACATTTTGATGATATTTACATTTTTAAACATTTGTTTTGATATCTATTATGATATACTTTATTGACATCAATTTTCCATGATGGATAGAACGCACATACTGCATCCGACGTCTAACCATATTCTACCTATTTTATATAGTGAAAGTTTTTAAGTAGTTTTCTCGTATAAAATTCACATACACAACATATAGTTTATGCCAACAACACAAACTGTTCATGAGTTGATTTCACCAAATGTTATCTGTTAGGGTTTTAAACAGTTTGCAGGTGATATCAACTGGAAAATTATCCGAAGTGTAAGAAGCCGTAGGATATTTTTTAGATTCTAGTTTGAAATTACCACAATAAAAGTTGTACATAGAGTGGAACCAAGGACTTACGGAGTATGTGGTAGGCATGATTCACCTAGAAACCTAAGCTGAACATTCATTTATTGATTAATTCACGGTACATCACAGAGTATCATTGAAGAATAACCACCTCACGGCTGATTCAGTGATTATGATTTCCTACTGGAATATCAAAAAATCCATCTCAAAAGTAATCATTAGTGAGAAAATTATTATTCAGTTAAGTTGATTTTAAACATTCAGTATTATTCTCACTGAGGGATTGTTATTTTTAAATCAATAAAAGAATCTTCTCACACTACTTAAATAATAAAAGTATTCTTGAATGGTTGTGAGAAATGTTTCATGATGATCGGGAAAGAAGATGGTCTTGATGAAGTTGACTAAGTTAATGGTGAGATGATATCGAAATTCACAGCTTTAAATATTCAAAAACAAACACATATTGAAATGGTTAACCGTTAAGCTCACAACAGAAATTAGTCGGTTTTAGTAATTTTACAACATGAGATTATTTATAATCAAATGATGATCATTTTCACCACTGTGTTACCATCTAATCAAGACGTGTTATTTTGTTAAATTCTTTAGTACAAAAAAGTGGCAAAAAACAATTGTTTTATTATTCTATCATTTGCTCTCAGAGTCAAACTATTTTGAAAAAATAGTTAATCTATTTAGTAAATTTGCATTGTCTTTTTTCTTATTCAGAAATGTACAGTACCATCTAATATTATCAAGTGACTATAACAGACATCTGTTAATATTTTGCATATGTTCAACTAAATTGATTAATATAATTCATTTGCGAACTTTTTTATTCACACTAAATAGGTTGAAATCTCTACTTACTGTTCATGTGTAAACAATACTATCTAATGTTTGGTAATAGCATACAAGTATGACATCTAGTATTGAATAATTTCATGTACGCTTAATTTAGTTATATAAAAAAGACATTTATACAAAAAAAGAAATTTATTTAACTAAACGCAAAGTAATAAACAGTAAAAAAAGTGTAAGAAGAATAAACATGTTATACATGTTTGTGTATTGTCAGTATAAAAATAATCAGCAAGTTTTTTATTTGTTGTATCAGGAAAATTTTACACGATCTCAGTCACAGCTAATGACTTTGAATGTTTGTTTTTTAAACAAAAAACTACTTAACAGCTGGTTCAAAGTTGCTTATCCATTCAGTATATCATAACAAAAATCATAAAAATGGAACAGTCGTTCATAAATGCATAATTCTTCGATTTGTTTTGAAAAACAAAGATTAATGAATGAATGAATGAATGTATGTAATACAATCTATAATAACAACGAGACTAATGATATTTTTAAACTATCAATGTAAATACAATTAAATTAGAATACTTTTAATTACAATAGGTATTGAATCAGGTACTTAAAATCTATATGCTAACACCTGGACAATAAACGAATTGTCTGGAGAATGAACTTAGGAGTTAAACGTGTATTATCAATGAAATTTAATCAAAGTTTGATTTCGAAGTTAACCGAAATTGTTACGCTTTTACTTTAGGTTATGGGTTGATCCTAACAAAAACATCTGATAAAAACTAGTAAACATTCAACAGTTGTTTTTCCTATTCCAGTACTGCATGTTGACGGTTTTACTCGAGAGTCGTCCATCTTCTATGGCAATAAAAGCTAACTACATAACAAGAGAATCTAGGTAACAGGACTACTAATTTCTGTCTGCAATTGTTCGTAAATTAGAATAAAGATATCTATTCCAACTTATTGATGACAAATAATCTTCACCATTTCAAATTATCTCTGTTCATAATGATCTATAATGGTGATGATTTAATCGTTCTGTTGGGAAATTTTCAAGTTCAGTTTTAGGACGACTGAATTTTGATTTTAGATTATATATTTAAATGTAGTAAAATATTATTACAGTATGTTGGTGATTTAATTTTAACATGAATTCAAATATAAGTTTTTAGTGTAATGGTTTGTTGAAATTACGCTATCGGTACCAAAATTTCCTTTAATATATTTGCATTATGATGCAAATTTTCTTTTCCTTTGAACTCTACTCACATGTTTTATATATTTATTCATATATTCATACTAATCTAATTCAGTAATAGCCTTGTTTCCTTGCTTACTTGCTTCCGCTAAAAATAAATTAATTTATTAATATGACCTTTATATTGTAAAAATTTAGCAACGCCTTTTTCCTGTTTATTTTGAGTATATGAAATCTACATAGTTGATTCTTTAATGTGTATACAAAATTATAGTGTTTCTTCGGTGAAAGCAACAATATTCCCTAAATGTTCAGTACTGGAGTTATTCAGCCTCAGATATTTATTTCTTGTTAACATAAGTTATAAGAAAATTGAATTAGATATTTTAACATAAAAGATAATAAGTTTATTAATTTGTGAAAACAATGTTGACAGAAATTCATTCAATGAAAAACATTCCTTTATTTATTGTGAGAAATTTATTGAAATTTTCTTTGATCAGATAATTAATTCCAGTTGGTTATTCCTTATTTGCAGTTTTTTTTGCTCTTACAAAGGATTATGATAAATTCATATTTATACACTGTTATAAACCATATTAAAAGTCACAACAATCTGTTTAACTGATGTTTTATAGTCTAATGTTCTACTGCAACACCAACCAAAATTTATGCAAAGTATACAATTTTGGTATGATGAAATGTTATTTTTGGAATTAAGTAGTCTTTTGCATTGCTAGAGAGAAAAGTGAATTATATTTTTCATTGTTTTTGCACTTATCACCAACCTGATCATGTTTCCAATTCGATGTACATTGAGTAGTTTTGAGTGAAAAGATGAAATAAATCAATTCCTTCACGTGTCAAATAGATATTATATAGTATCGATTAACTGTAATCATAATTATGTGAGATATGTATTCTACTGTCAGTACTCTATGTTCGAGATATGTGAACTGTAAAGTTTTACTTCCTAAACTATTTATTTGCTTTTGTAAGGTTGAAATATATATACAATAAAAGCAAATCAAACGATGAAGTCACGCTTGGAACTAGCCAGGTTGTTTTCCATGTTTAACCTTCACCATTCCCAAATAATGAACATTACCTTAATTAACGAAAGATTTTAGTCGGAATTGCTACCAAATCGAAATTCAATGCAAAAACCCATTGATTGCCAGTTACACAATACAAAATAGAGATTAAGAATTTAATTTTCATCTAAATGTAATATTTCATTTGGTATACACAATGGACATAACATCTCTCAGTGTATATGTTTGAAACAGATTATTCACTGATTAGTATTTCTTTTTTTTAAAAAAATTTGTTCTTGTTATTGTATTATTTAATTAGCTTCCAGCCGGTGCTAATCCACCTATGCCACGTGGATTTTTTGAAACGAATCATCATATAGCTAGTGTGGATTTTTTCTTCGATTCAAGAGAAGTTGTGAAACGATTAAAACTAACACCAGGTCATTATCTACTTGTTCCATGTACATATGCAGCTGATCAACCAGGTGAATTCTTACTACGTTTATTATTTGACAATCCGGATAGAATGTGTGAGTAAGTAAATAGTTATATGTAAAACAGTGTTTTTAACATGATTATTAAAAATCTAACTACTTTTGATTCAAATATTAAATGATACACTAATCTGATTATAGAGACTAAGTATTAATTTATAAATGTAACATTGAATAATCCTAGTACAAGAACAATCATAAATTGACATAAGTATCTATTCCTTTAGCCTATCACAACAAGTAGATCCGAATACAGATAATTTGGAAATTGTACGTACATGAGGGTTGATGCATCGGCATATCTGTACAAAAAACCTCGTAAGTCATTCAAGTAACCTAAACACACAAACAATATGATATTGTGTAGCTGAAAGTTTTTCTCAGTCATTTTGCCGAAATCACAATGTGATCTAATATATTATGCATTTAAATGTGAAAATTTGGCCAATAGTGGCGATTATAATTTGTTTTAATTGGCTACTCTTAATGTTTACTGATTATTATTTATGATGATTTCTAGAGTGTTCAAGTTGAAATCACATATAAATTTATTTTCAACTAGAATAAAACATTAATTTTTTCATTGTCTTCAGACCTACATTAGAGCGTATAGAAATTAGTGGTCTAGCTGCAACTGGTCCGGAGCTTGATCCTAACTATGAATTATTTCAACCACGTCTCAGACGATTGTTTTATGAAGCTTCAGGTGAATCGATGGCTGTCGATGCATTTCAGTTAGAGCCAATACTTAACTGTCTTTTACGAGATGATCATCGAGCACCGTATAGTATGGTATGCATTAATCTTTTCTCTTGTTTCATTTTCTGATTGAAAAACTTTCTTACCAAATAGTATCCGTTTGAATAATAATGTTGAAATTTTTAAGAATAGGTTTCTTTTTAATTATACTTGACAGCATTTATAATATACTACCTTTAAATCGAAGAACTGTGATTCTTTTAGAATCACAATATGAAGCGAGATTTGATATCTACCTTTACTTATCAAAGGAATGGGGAATCTGTTTCAAATTTAAATCGCGATGGCCACTTAATTGGAGATGTGGTTATTATTATTATTATCACTTGTTTTCAGTTATTGCACATATCATTAGATGCCAAGACTGTATGAAAGTAACAAAACTATTCATTTGACGTTGTTCTATTGGTTTATATCTAAAATAGGAAACATTTTCAACCTCATGATACCCATTTTTATGCTAACACTTAAAAGTTTCCCTAATAATTTTTTAACTGTTGGTTATTGCACACATCATCAGATGCCAAGACTGTATGAAAGTAACAAAACTATTCATTTGACGCTGTTCTAATAATTTTTTAACTGTTGGTTAATATTGTCATTGTTTATAATGTATGATTCAAGTATAGAAAAATTGAAAAAAAATGTTTATAGAGTTTGTACAGTATTTATGTTTAGATTTTGGTATAATGATTTTGGTATAATCCCTAGATCAATCAGAGTTAGACATTAACACCGTTGGATGCCGGCCCAGTGGTCCGATGGTAAGGCGTTCGCCAACAATGCCAAAGGTCCCGGGTTCGAATCCTGCCGAGGAACAGGAGTCGTGGATGCGCACTGCTGAGGAGTCCCGTACTAGGACGAAACGGCCGTCCAGTGCTTCCAGGTTTCTAATGGTGGTCTAACAATGATGATTGATTAGTGATTTCAAATGTATAATGATTTATTCAAATTTTCGTACAACTTTTAATCAGGTTAGCACAGATGCTTGTCGATCTCTGGTAGCTCTTCTTGATCGTGATGGAACTGGACGTTTGAGTGAATCTGACTTTCGACGAGTATGGGATATTTTAAGATCATGGTCTCGTATGTTTGCAAGTTTTGACCCACAAAGAACTGCTCATGTAACAAGTTTAGACTTTCGAATTATTGTTGAACAAGCTGGTAAATTAATCAATTTTATAAGATTTCATTATTTATTGGTCTTATTTTTGATAAAATACAAATAATTTATAGTGAGACTAATAATAATGAACTTATTCGCGGCTTTGTTTTTACCTAATTACTCATAATCCTCAAAGACAAATCTAATAATCTGACAATAGTCCTTTAACTAATACTTAACAGCTTTATTTAAGCAACTTGTTCTGTTGTCTATTTTTATCTTTGATCAAATGAGACAAGTTATCGATTACTTATGGTAAGTGTGGAAACAGAGAACAAACCAGCCGACTATTCATATAGTGAAGTCATTAAATTTATCTGGTTTGTCTTCAACCATAAATTATGATACCTAAATAAACTGTAACGAAGAAGTACAAATAGTCAGACGTGGTTCTTCATAGACTAACGTCTCACCTTCGGCTTTTTCTCAATCTACTCCTATTTAAGCTACCACTACTTGTCAAGATTGACTTATACCTTAATTTTATCATTATATTTGAAAGGCATTATTGTTTTTTATTTGTTTTCTTGAATAGGTTATACTCTTCCGCATACATTATTTTCTAAACTTGTGAATCGATTTGTTAATGTAGATTGGCGTCTTGATTATCCTCATTTTATCAGCGCTATGTCACTTATAACAAAAGCAGTTGGTAAGTGTTATTATAGTTATTATTAATACAATTTTTCAGTTATTAATCTGTTAACATATCTGATATGCATATTAATGTTAATCACTTTAGAAGGTAGTAAAATAAACTGCAGTTGGAATAGAAAAAAGTGACTTGTACCCAAAATAACGGTTTTCAATATATCTTGTATCCTCGTGTTATGTGCAGCGAGCAAGTTTATATTACCACTAAATTCGAATGGTCGAATGGGATACTACGCACAGATTACTTCACGATAAACCTGACACACGATTCATAACCAAAATAGAGAACCACAGCAAACGATAGAAAATATTATATTCTGCACAATTATAGGTAGTTATACTCAGCAAGTCTGGAGTAGAAATCAATAAAAGGAAATGAAATCACATTTTATAGCCAGTAGGTCAAGCCTGTTAGTCCATACTTTATGAACAATCCTATTTTCTTGTCACCACCACATATCAGTACCTTCACCCTAAACAATTCCTTTAACATCAGGAATAATAAAATGCTTTTGTGGATTTGCTATTCACACCAACTTTACTTGTACACGACTATAAATCTGACTATATAACCATTTCGGTGTTCACAAAAGTAATTTTCACTCATACTTTTCGTATGATATATATATATATATATATATATATATATATATATATATATATTGATACTGTTTATCTAATGGTGAAATAGCGATTGTCCAAAATTGAAAAATAACTTGATCGTTGAGTAATTTAACTATTACGTCATTACTGCTCCATTTAATTACTTACTGACTTACGTCTGTTACCCCTAGTGGAGCATAGGCTGTCGACAAGGTTAATAAAACCAAGTCACTCCTCGACCTTACTTTTCAGTTCTTCCTATTCATTCTTTTCATGTCTGCCTCTGATTCCCTGGCCTATCTCTTTTCATTTGGCCTTGGGGGTTCCAAGTTATCGCCCGCTTAGTGACGCAGTTGAATGATTTTCCATATTGTGTTCTATCCACCTCCAGCGCGTTTTCCTAATGTTTTCATCAGATGAAACCGGATTTGTTCTCTCTCACAGAAAGTTGTTGCCGGTGGTGTCTGGTTAACTGGTGAGGAGTATCTTGCGTAGACAACTGTTAATAAACCCCTATATATATGATGGCTTTCGTGGTTCTCCAAGTTTCCGCACCATACAGTAGAGCTGTCTTGACGTTTGTATTGAAGATTGTGAATTTGGTGTTGGTTATTGGTTGTCCGTATGAGCTTCGACTGTAAAAATGCTACCCTTGCCTTGCTTATCCATGTCTTCACACCTGCATCAAATTCACGCTTTTTATCAGTTTTTATCAGCTCTTCTTTTTTGTCCGTTCTGCGTCCAGTGTGTTCTCAGATTCCAAGTACCGTCAGGTTGTATCTTTTCAGTTCCACAGCATCCTGAATGACTCTCCCGGTTTCCGCAATGTGCCAACATTCCATGTACCTATATTAGTGGTTGCTCTGGTTGTCAAAAGAAGCATTATCTTCGTGACTTTCGAGGAAATTCGGCTTTCATCAGGAGACATTGTAACTCTTCAAAATGAAGACCTTCCAACTGTCAGGGCAGAGCTTAAGTTGTTTTATTTATTTTTTCTCGTTAGCGTTTTTTATCGAGTTGGTTTTCTGCAAAATGGAGTTGCCGACCACACGCCTAACCCTCTCCTTTTTTGCGGGCTTGAGATCAGCAGTAACCTCAGAAGGGTTTCTTTCGGAATAGTTTAATTTATTTACTACAAATTTACGATGGGTATATCTACCATTTCATCCATCCATAATCATTAGATCACCGCAGATAAGTTACTGGACATTTGACTGCTGGTATATGACTTAGTAACGTCCAAAAACATCTCGAATTGAAAAACTAAACATTAAGACAAAATAGTTTCTTGTTAAAAGTTTGCAATTTTTACTCTTTCTCTAAATTTAAAATAAAACCACTTATTGATCTACTAATAACGTCAATTATCAAAAAGAAGTCTATGGAAAAGAAAATTATAATTTTCCTACGGTAGGTTTTTCTTATCAAGATAAATTACTCTAAGCAATGGAGTCTTTGATAAACATTGATTCCATCATTTATTCTATGGCCTATTGAAAAGTTTTTGTGATATATATATATATATATATATATATATATATATCTTTGACCGGTAAAAATGTAGTAGTGATATTTAAAGGATTATTTTTAATTTCAGTCGCCAATGTTTTAATCTATGATTTTATTTTTAACATCTTTCAACTATAACCAAAATTTAGACGGAAGTTCTTATAAGATTAATGGTTCGCTTGTACATTGTTTTTATAAACTTTCCGATTTGTTGCACACCTTTTATTGTTCATTCATCTCACTCTTTCTCTTTTCATTTGTATTTTATTTGATTTTAGCAATTTTTAAGAATTTCGATCATGGTGGACGAGCTGTTCTACCTTTGGAACAAGTAGGAATTTAGCTCTGTTTATTTTTTAAAATTTATTTTCTACGGTTTGTTGAAAAGTAAAACAAGCGTTGGTCACAGTTAAATTATTTTTACGGATACAATTTATTGCCTAATACATTACCTCAAAGTAATCTGAAACAAGTACGTCACACTATTATACAATGATTATATTATCAAGAATCGATACACTATCATGAACAAAATAAACAAATCAAACAACCATCATAAAATAATGTGATATATACGTGCTTTATGAGATGTATCATTTATTTTTTGCTTAGATGAAATATTGGTAAAAGTCTGTCGAAATTAATAATGTGTTACTTCAACGGACTTAACTAAATATGTTATCTGTTTGATTTTATTGAAGTGACCAAAGTTTTGAGAACGTAATCAGTAGTAAAACTGAATAGTTACAACCTGATCAAAACATTATTGGTTTTTTTGAGTTGAAGAATAATAAGTTACAAAGTGGAATGGAGAATGTATGTTATGTTGCCTGTTTTTGAGTTCTTCCGTTTCTTACTGCATTTATTTTCAAAGTGTACTTACCATATAAGAGTGTTGATTATTTCAAATGGCAAAAACTTAATAAAGATGATGAGTCATGTAGTTTTTTAAAAGCAAAATAATAAAATAATATTTAAAATGTTTGTAAAATTCGAAACATTTCATTTAGTTGGGACCAGCTGATAAGCGAAACCTACTTGCTAGTACAAAACAACCCATTTACAATAGAACAGCAAAATTTTGAGTTTTTTTCAGCTACTCAGTTTTTATCATTCCTTACTGTTCTAGTGCATGGTTGAAAAGTTATTTAAGTTAGGTCAATGAATACGTTGAATTTTAAATTCTCCTTCCAAAGTATTGATCTATATCACTCAAGGTCTGTTGGTAAGTTCTGAAGAGAATGAAGTATGATAGTCGATAATACTGTGAATCTAAGTCTAAAAAGTTGGAGTGAACATATTTGGCATAGTTCACAAAGAATCTCAGTGAGTTTGCGCCTTCACGTAGGCGGGTCTTCATGAATGCAATTCAATCTTCTAGGGTTTTCTGTGAAAAAAGTTTACTGGCTCAGTCGAAAAGAGTTTGTCCAATCCCTTTTTTATAACTGATTGGACAGGAGCTGTCGTAGTTATGATGAACTCTATTTCATGTATTTTTGTGATGAATTCGTCTTTGTAGTTTTTCACCTGATTTTCTCGTTTCACCTACTTTATCCGTTTAACAAAACACACACACTTTATTACGGAATATGAAGAAGGTAAATTCCATTTCCTAGACATTGGAATCAAATAAATTTCAGATGGAAAACTACAAAGATAATTATTATAATTTTAACTACTAATAAAATTCCAGCAGTAACTGATGAAACTTGTTTCACTGTTAGCCAACCCCTTAAAATATAACTACTGGATGATAAAATACTTGAATAATGATTTAAACTAATCATTCACTCTGTAAGATTGTCATTATTTTCTTTTTATCTAGTTCGTGGAAATTGCAATGACAATGTGATTGAAATGAAATAAACAAAGGACAAATTACTCTTCTTCCTCTCCCCCTTTTTTTTATAAATTTTGTATTCCTTGTAAAAAAGAATTTTGGTGATTCACTAATACACAATTTATTTTATTAAATCAGATGACTTATTGATATTTACCACTTGATTGTTGTACAATCATGATAATAATAATAATAATAAATTTAATTTTCAATACTTATTTACACAAAGTTTGGTTATTTTTTACACGAAATCCTACTATTTTTATGTTTCTTATTGATACATATAAATATATATGCAGAAGGACAGGTGTTGCTCTTTTTTATTCATTATTCTATTGATTGAACCGGCAAATTATTCGTCAACATGGTCAATTCGAATTACTGTTCTACATTTTATTTATTTCACCTCAATTTCAATTATTCACATTCGACAACCAACCAAATTATGAAGGTTATTTAAATAAACGGACAGTAAAGACGATTACTGTTGGTTCGATAACTACTGATTTTCTCAAATCATTGAAAAGTGTGTATAACAATTAGAGCAGACAAAAATCAAATAGTCCTTGTTATACCTATCGACAAATGTTTCTTTTGTATACATTAATTTAATTGTTTACTCATTAGAACTGCTGTGAAAGAAAAACAAATGACAGGATTAAAATAAATTATTTTCTCATTATTATTATTATTATGATTATTATTTACTACTTAAAAGTTATTTTGTTTTTACAATCCTCTTCGTAACTTAATATATAAAGAAATATAATTCTGTTGTCTCGTTAACTAACAATATTTCTATAACTACCAAGATTACTAATTATTGTAATCATAATCATTATTCATTCATAATTAATTTGGTAAAAGTTAATATATTCCAAAAAAGGTTCAGTAACTTTTACTTTCCACTTGTTTTACTCTATTTAATCTCCCCCACTATGTGTCTTTTAGTTTTTATTTCTTTCTTTTGTTTTTTCCTTCTCATTTTACAATCTCTGTCTCCGTTTGTTCCCTTTTCCTTTATATCAGTTACATTTCGTATTTTCAAAAGGAAATCTGGATTTCCACTGTTCTTTCAATATATATCTATATATATAAGCACACCTGTGTTCTAATAATTTGTTATACTAAATTATCTGCAAACAAATCTTTTGTATCTATTGAACAAGAAAAAATAAATTCTCACGTATATTTTATGATCTAATTTCGGTTTTCTCTTTTCAAGTCGTAATTAGTATTCCTTACTTGTATATAAATATATATATATGTTTCTATTTATTTCTATTCTCTTCTCTGTTTCATTTACTTCGTTGTGGGATTTTATATATTTTTTCATATACTCATTCATAAATTGATTCTGGTTTTTGAATTCTTCTCCTTTTTCTTTTGTGTTTCTGCATTTAAAAAAAAACTGTATTTGTTATTATACTGAATATTGTAATTTATTTTATACAATAGACATTTTCAATTGTGTTTATTTAACATTTTTTTTCAATTTCCAAATTTGGGCTACAAAAGTACATAAATTACTATGCTGATTAGTTAAAGTTTTGTAACTTCTTACGATTCACCACTATGTTAGAATTTGTAGTAACTGATATGTTTTCCAGAGAAGCCAACCATGAAGTCATATTTACTCATTTCTTTTGTAAAAGGATCCAAACTCACTGAATGAATGAACTGACTTCTCTGAAATATCGTACTTAATTTCAGCACAACATTATCGTTTGTCATGAAAGCACTGATGATCAATCACTTTCAGTAATTTTAATTGAAAACAAACCCGCTTATTGTATTTATGCCACGGTTTTCACCTTGGTAGCTTTACTAAGTCTTGTAAAGTCGGTAAAAATTGTGGATTAAGGGTAAACGTCATTATGTATGAATACTCCTCAGTCAACTGTAGAAAAGATACGCTCAGCGTTTTTGGTCATTTTTACTATGAAGTAAAGTTTCACAAACAATTTCAATAAAAATTATTAAACACCAATTGCAGCCATTTATTACAAGCGGTCAAGAATTCTTTCTATTTTAGTTTGTCCATAGGAATTCTGAAGCATTTGTTAGGTGTATGCGAGCAAGGAAACTACAAAGCAACTAACTTATTGCTTTACTCTGAAAAATTTGTCAATGATGTACAGTTCAATTTAAGACAGAATGTTAAAACACTATTTTTCTAATGAAATCAATAATTTCATTCCTCGTTAAAACATTGATTTAAAGAATGATAGTCAGTAATAAATCGATAATCGCTGCATATTAATCACACATTGAGTTAGTTAGCCGTTTTCGTAACAATAAGAATGAGGCATTGCTAGCTTCTGACTTGAAAAATAAAATCGTAATACTTTTGAATATATTTATTCATAGATCATGTAAAATGAAAAAACACTCACTCTACACATTGTGCGACGTCATATTGCGAATTAATTGAAAAAAAACTTAAAGTGAATATGCTCTGAAAATGGTTTTCCGTAATTGGCAAATTCGAAAGTTATTACATATCATGAATCAAGTCAGTTTTACTTTAGCAGACATTGTTAACTAATTTTGTTTTTGCTGGAACATATATCAGGCGTAGGTAATTCTCAATAAAAATTTTTTTGATCGACAGCCAAATTGTATTTTGAGGTGAAAATGGATTGATTGTTTTTTCTTGTTTAATTGTTTGTGAAAAACTCTAGTTTGAAAATGATTGTTAACACACTGACTGGGGAATAATTAAAAACTAAGGCGAATTAAGCAAGTAATTTGTAAAATACTATTCATCAGTCCACACATAACTATTAGAGTGGTCAAAGCCAGGAATCTAATTTCGCATGGACATGTGGTGATAATTCATGGATCAAGAATTTATAAAACAAAGTCAATGACTGAACAACTAGGGGCAATATGTTAGTTGTATTTTCAGATTATATGTACATACTAAGTAATTTGGATTTACATTAGAACATGAGTAAAAGTTACCTGAAACGTCCTTACCTTTATGGGATACTCGATTTTGTAGGTCTCACTCACTAATCACTAAAATGAACTTCATGTTTCCCTTTCCTCCTGTCAAAACATTTTCAAAGAAGAATTATCTTAATATAAATCTGATTAGGATAAACAATGTGTGAAAAAGTACTTTATATTGAAATGTTTTTTGTTCCTATTAGCTATAACATCGATTGCAGTCAACGCATTTATAACAAAACGACTTCATATATTGTGTATTTCAAGGTTTTCTTGTAATCAAACTTTTTATATATACATATGTTTCTTTAATCTCAATAATATGAAAAAAAATTCCATTAATGTCTTCTGATTCTAATTGTTCCTGAAATATATTCTTAGACATATAAGAGGTTTCCTTGCAGCGTCTTTTCTACGTCCAGTAAGTCACAAATAAATACGCGCTCGCACTAGAGTATGATCCGAATCTAGACATATGCCCAAGAACGATCGACAGTCTTTGATCGGAACCCTCCATCGGAGGCGGATAGCGATGTGATCTAGTTGGGTCCGACCTTGGGACGACCCTAAGGGTTGCCGGGTCATAGGTGTCTTTTTCTTATGCTTAAAGTTCATTTTTACTAAAAATAGGCGATTATCTCAGAATAGTTGCCATTATGTTGGGTTGTTCGTGACACCATAAGATTCGACTAAGAGAAAATGACATTCCTCAATTTATGCTCTGCAAGGCTACAATCCACGAAGAATTAGGTAAATACGATTATCCTCAAACTGTGCATTTAGTGCAGAAAATCAAGGTAGAAAAGGTAAGGTTTACATTATGATAATTTTGGGAATAAAACGGAGTATGGAAGTGAATTCCACACGAAACGAAAACTTACAGTTTATAAAATACGAACGGAAGAACATTGAATATTAGTATTTTACAGACATTAAATTAAGTGTAACAATGGTACCGAAATTAGTTTACATTGTTTATCACTGTCTATAAACTTTACACTTCACAGGATAGGACTGTTAAACCCACTTACTCCCAACTCTCCAGCTTTATCTAGATTTCACATTCTTAATAACTCAATGAGGGTTTCAGGTGTAGTTACTTCATCGAACACAAATATATTGTGCAGTATAAAGTTTTTAAGTCTGAATAATTTAAAAAACATTTATATTTAATAAAAATCTTAACCAGTCATCTATGGCATTATTAGAAAGGATATGAATTATCAAGTTGTTGATAATTTGAATCAGTTTTGTTTGGTGTTTGTTAGAATATGTAAACCCTGTTCAGACTATTTCAGACTATTTCACAATTAAAAAATGAAATTCCGGACGTTCATATTCTCCTCGTACTAGGCTCAAATCCCTATAAGAACCTTAACACTGAGACTCAGATGTATTGAGCTAACGAGTACTATATGAAGTGAAACATGCATCCTGCATTTCACTGCTAGTCATATCCATTTTTCTTTAATTAATCACTGTTCTATAAGATGAGGATTCTGTTCAAACATAATTTTTAAATTATTTTGACAACTCAGACTAATTTGAACTGAGTTTAGTATACTAACTTCTTCTTCCTGTTTATGGTATGTGGACAGAACAAAATAAACCTTAAATATTGTGCATAATATGTGTTTTTTATTCTGTCTTATTGTTTGATAAAGTAAAAAAAATTGGCATAAAAATTATCTCACTAACGAATAGTTTAACGCACTTTTTATTCACTGTTAATAAGTTTCGTACACTTTCAATTACGTGTAATCTTTACATCAAGTTCCCCAAATTTTATACATCAGAAAATTACTCTAAATTTTTTAGATGTTGCCTTATAAAATATACCATGATGTTTAAACTTTTACCTAGAAAAAACATGAGGCCTATTCACATGTAACCCGAGGACTAAGTAACTTAAAAAATGAATGGCAGTTACTTCACTAAACTAAAAAATAGTCTGTTTGTTTGATCTAGGAATGATAAGAAGCGAAAAATATAGAAGCAATGACTACAGAAACAAAATCCTCCAGCTTTATCTTTCACTGATGGACTTCAGATGTGTTACGAAATTTCGGAGAACAGTCCTCTTTATTGAGTATGAGATATCAGTATTTATAAGCATCGAAATCTTCATCCTATAATTACATTACATTTACTGGAAAAGTAAACAGAGAATGTAAACCGTTTACAATAAATAAAATCTACGGCTAATCGAATTAGGTGTTTAATCTTTATCTGGTGATTAAATAATGCGAAATATATGTTGACATGCATAGAGTGATTTTAGTGTGAGTTGAGAAGATTAACATGACCTTACAGATAGTCACAACCTAGTTTCAACGTTTGCTGAATCTCCAACATGAAACAACGATAGTACAACAGAGCAGGGTGAAACAGCTCTTTCTCTTCCGGAATATTAAATAAAGACTGGTGGGCAGAATGATCAAGGATGTATCGATGAAAACCTAAATATTGTGTTAAATTCTGTATGCTGGTGCTGATTTTCAATTTCAAAAGTGTTTCTAGATAATCCAAAATATCTTTTTAGTACTTTCAAATAGTTTTTCAGCATAGGATCAATTTTTCATGAGAATATTTAAATATAATCTATTAGCTTTGATGAGTGGATACAGATGGCAACTTTAGAAAAGGAATTCATATATCGAATTCTCTCAATTCAAATTTTTTATTCTCTTCTAAATTTATACTTTTGTAAAATAATACAGCTTAATTATTTTTGTCATTAGTTAAATGAACTAAGAGAAGGAACTTATTATGAAGAATTATCAAAACAATTATGTTGAACCTAAATCGACAAACATTTTCCTATCTTTCATTGAATTATTTTTCACTTTTCAAATTTTATTTGGTCACAAATAAGCAATAGAGAATAATATCAAATTTTCATTGACCATTGACTTAAATGCTTGAAAATCAATTTGTAGAATCAGTCTTTCATCTCTTATTGTCGACCGAAAAAATGATTTTCTCGTTTATGTGAACAGTAAGTATAAAAGCGAATATGTATAAGATACTTGGAATATTTAGTAGACTTGTTGATTCACTCGATATTAAGTACTATGTCCTAAGAAGATAGAATCAACTATTATGTGGATCATTTGAATGACAAGCAGTCATCACCACTGTTGGTGTTGTTGTTGTTATCGTTGCTGATGTTTGTGTTATTGCTTTGTGCTATTTGAAATATGTTTATTTGTTTATTTAACTACAACATAGGTGAATAAAAACTACAGTAATATCCACTGGTCACTATTAACAACAAAAATAAATTATTAATAAATATTTAGTAAAAAGAATAACAAAATACTGAATAGATAAACTTTAGAAATGGTTTATGTGAGTCAAATGAATGCAGAAAAAATGTCTTGATTTATTCTAGGTAAGGTATTTAAACAAAGTAGATTTATATTCATACTAGAACAATCGCTTCCACAGTTTCATTTGTGAGCTTGTCTTTCAGTCTGTTTTCTTTTTATCCTCAAGGGTAATTCACTAACCAAAGTAACAATCTA